AACGATGATCAATACAATACTCAACAGCATCTAAAAATACAATATACCATCGAATTTGAAAATGACAAAAAACACTAAATTTTCTATGACATATGCATAATAAATAACAAAAATGGTAAATATGAGTTTAAAATACACAAAAAAATGCAATTACTAACATTCAAGTTAAAGCATTATCAAACCATGACCCACAAATTTTAAATGAAATGTTTAAGGGTTTCGTACATAGAGCATTTAATGTATGCAGTCAGAAACATATAGAAAATGAACTGTATTTCCTTATTCAAGTATTTGTCAAAAATTGCTACAAACAGTCCAATCTCATAAAAATTATAAAAGAAATAAAACGAAAGTACAAAAAATCTCTAGTGACTACTAAAAACATTGACAACATAACCAGTACGTATCCAACAATTTCATTACCTTTTCGTACGTATCCAAAAATACCATTACCATTTCGGCACCAAAATTTTCTCTTAAATTGCGTAAAGTGTTTAAGAAGGAAGAATATAAAACGGTCTTCAAATGAACCTAGAGGCAATATTAACATCAAGAAATAAATCCAAACTACAAATGAACAGCCACTCAGGAGTCTACCTTATTAAATGTCATTGTAGCAAAAAGAATATAGGTTATAAAAATAGAATATAGAAACAAAAATGCAAATAAAAAAAAATAAAAACAGAACGATCTGCTTTAGCCACACACATGAGACATTGTACACAACAACTTAACTGGAACAGTTGCGGAACTCTGCGAAAGTCGATACTAAAAAGTTTGATAGGAAAGTTCGTGAGGCACTTGAAATACAGTAGCACCAATGTGCCCCTCAACAAAATGGTATCAATTTAGATGAGGGACAATATGTGTCAACGAAATTTTGGACACCATTTCTAGCGCACTTAGGTCAGACAAAGACGAAAACATCCCATTGACATAAAATAAAATTGCCTTTTTTAAAAATAACATATAAACAAAAACAAACGATAAACTTTTAAACTAAAAAAGCTGGTCACAACAATCCAGCGAAAATTTCTTTTAAAAAATAAATTTAGTATCGAGAGAAAATAGTATTTATTGATGTTTATAAAATAATAATAATAATAATAATAATAATAATAATAATAATAATAATAATAATAATAATAATAATAATAGTAATAATAACAATAATATCAATAATAATAATAATAATAATAATATATATTTTTTCCCTTTATTTTTATTTTTCCCTTTATTTTAATGCCAACAAGAATCACGAACCACTCCAAAACTCTGATTTTATCAATCAGAGCTTTGGAGTGGTTCGTGATTCTTGTTGGCATTAAAATAAAGGGAAAAATAAAGGGAAAAAATATATATTATTATTATTGTTAATATATTTTCTTATTAACATTTTTCATGTTAACATATTTTCTAATGTAACTTCTATAAATATTTCTACGGTACCAAATCATTTACCCCAGTTTTTCATACATCCATTTTATTGAACCAAAATTTATCTTCGCAAAAGCTGCATTTTTCGTCGGAATTAAAAAAAAAAATTACAAAGAATTATGTTGTGATTTCTCAAAAATTAGCTGGACTAATGTAATCAATGTCAATAAAGGTAAGACTAATAAGTCATTTGAAGATTTTTTCACAAATTTTAATTCTCTTTTAGATAAGCATGCACCATATCGAAGTTCTTCTCTGATAATGCCAAAACTTTAAAATCTACATGGGATGGTAATAGGAATCTTTTAAACATTAGTCCGAGAGTTAACTCATATCCTTCCTGCTTATCTTCTAACAACTCCATGATATACGACCGCATTAAAATTTCGGAATCTTTTTATTATTTCAGTTCCGGAAGAATTACAGAAAAAGGTTTACTTATCCAATACTGACTTTAATAAATACCTTAAAAATCATAATCTTAAATCAATATTCATAAAACCTACAGACAAACACAAAGTATTATCTATTATTTATTCCCTAATGACAGCAAAGCTTTGGGACCTAACAGCATTCAAATACCTATTTTTAAAACTCTTGCAAATATCTCTCCTGAACTATTTAATCTGTCATTCATTTCTGGTGTATTCCTTGATATTTTAAAAACTGCTTCTATTATTCCAATTCATAAAAAAGACTCAAAACTTGAATGTAATAACAGACCAATTTCATTATTATCGAACGTCACCAAACTTTTAGAAAAACTTATGTATTCTCGTATTTACAAATTTTTGAATAATTCCGCTTGTTTTTATATTCGACAGTTTTGGGTTTCGCTCAAATCACTCCACTTCTCATGCTCTTATTAGCATTACTGAAATGATTCGTGGTGCAATTGACAGTGGTTTCTTTGCTTGTGGTGTATTCATAGATCTTCAAAAAGCTTTTAATACGGTTGATCACAACATTCTAATAAAAAAGGTAAACTACTGCGGAATACGTTGTATTGCTAATCATTGGCTTTCTTCATATACTAGGGATCGCTCTCAGTTTGTTCCAATTAATGGATTTGAATTCACACATAAAGTTATTAAATATGGCGTTCCACAAGGTTCCATTCTTGGACCGTCGGTCAAAAAAGAAACTTTTTACTTAATAGCATTGCTAGTTTACAACGCGCATCTATTAGAATAATGACGTTTTCGCCAATGAGATCTGGTATCCAAAAAAAATTTTCTGAACTAAAAATCCTAAAACTCCACGATCTTGTAAAGTTTTACAATTGTCTTTTTGTGTTTGATTTTCTCCAAAATAATTTACCAAACTCTTTTTTAAACATTTTTTATGAAAACAAATGAAATTCATAATCATCACACCAGGAATACAGAAAATAGTAAGTTATACTCTTCTATTTTCAACACAATTAAATATGGTAAGTTTTCCATAAAACAACAATGTATTTCCGATTGGAACCAGCATTAATAAAAAAGTTTTTAAAAAAATATCCCCTTGTTACGTATTATTTACTGCTCAATAGAATTCAATTTAAAAATATATTGTTAGAGTGTATTTCTTTATAATTTCTCTCTGTACTGTAGTTGCCTTTATTATATAATTTCTTTAACGAACGAATGGTTTGATTTTTGTTATATTTATTATTTAAGTATATATTATATTTATTATTGTGTTATTATTGCTACATTTTATGTTATTGTTATATTTAGTTATTATCTATGTACATACAATTTATATTGTATTATTCTTATTATTATTGATATTTTATTATTATTGTTATTATTTTGTATTATTACTATAATTATTACATATATCATTATTATTTGTTTAACAATCTTTTCTTTTTTTCACTCTTATTCATATATATATATATACATATATATATATATATATATATATATATATATATATATATATATATATATATATATTATATATATATATATATATATATATATATATATATATATATATATATATATATATATATATATATTTCTAACTCTTAATTAATTTACGATAAAATTTGTAATATGGTTGAATAAAAAAACAAATAAAAAAAATTTGGCAACCTACTTTGTTTGTGTGTGTGTGTGTGTGTGTAATACACACACACACACACACACACACACACACACACACACACACACACACACACACACACACACACACACACACGCACACACACACACACATACATACATACATATATATATATATATATATATATATATATATATATATATATATATATATATATATATATATATATATATATATATATAATATATATATAGAATACACAATTAATAGCACCATTATATTAATATTTCTTGTGCATTGATTAATTTTAATAAACGCACAGCACGTAATAACTTAACTTTGATTTATTTAACATTTTTCATCATTGATATCAGTCAAGTATGAACGTATTTTGAGTTTCCGCAAACAAAATAAATACGTTTACCAAGTTTCATTTTATTATTTCATTTGAAAATAATTCTATAATTAAAAAATTTTTTTTTTAGTGGTGGTCTATACAATGGGGGGTTTTATTTATAATTTAAATGGTTAATGATTCACAATCTTCTCGTATTACCCAAAATTTAATTAGCGATTAAAAAGCGATTAACAAAATAGTTGTGAATAAAAATATATACTTCTCAACCTACGATCTTGGAGCTTTTTAATTGATAAATATCTTAATAGTTTTTAATTGAAAATTTGAATCATTTTAGTTTTGTTTGTCTCGATACCAGACCTCGGTAAGAAATAACTTTAAAAATGATTTTGACGCTAAAAAGAAAGTCCAAGTACTTAGGTGTAAAATGGAAAATGGTTTATTATCTATATCAGCAATAAGATTTGAATTTTATCAGGATAATGATAAGGTCTTACGTTTTTTATAATTTCTTTATTATTTGAAAAAGGTAACATCTGGATCTGAATGATTCTTTAAAAATATTTTTGGAACAGCTAAAACTTTAATTTATGAAAATCATATTTTTATCCATAATAACAAAAAAGCTTATACGAACAAAATTGAGCGTTAATAAGTTTGGAATTTGCTTTAAAATCTGGTTCCGTCCCATGCATAGCCCTGCCGATTAGCGACCTTGCTGCTAATTTGACCAAAACCAATACATAGATAGCGTATAATTAGACATCTAGCAACTAAATAGATTAGTACAATACTTTGATACACGGCAAAGTTCCATTTGACTATTTGGTTGTATTTTTGCGATGGTTTATCATACAGAAAATCTTATTTATTTAAATCAATTTGTTTATTTAGACATGGACTACCATGGAGTTATTATATTGTTAAACGGTTCTCGGTGACAGAATCTTACGATCCATTTCGAGTTTCCGTGTTTTTATATTATATGTACAAGATATTTGGGAGAGTGTTGCTAAAAAGTAACATTAAATGGCATACTTTTTGGCTTTCATCTTTTAATCTAAATACTGTCATAATAATTTTAAACATTTTAGAATAAATTTTTTTATTTCAAATAAAATTTCATTTAAAAAATAAAAAATTAAAATTGTGTAAAATAAATTAATATTATAAATATTAAATCGATTTTGTATTTTGCATTAAATTGAAATTACGTCATTAAACGTAATATTAAGTTTACAGAATGTGTTGCAAAAACTTGTGGTTTTATGACGTAAGCAGAAATAAAGGTATGATATTTGCCTTTTTATTAAATTGTCAACCACTTGCTCTTATTGAACTAGAAAAATTTTGTTCAGCGTAGTTTGTATCTTGTAGTTTGCGAGTTCTCCTCAGCTGGGATTGGTTTTTCCACTTATCTCAAGATAAAATGTTGGTAAACAAAATAATTGCAATTTGTGTTTACGCTAATGCTTTATTTATATGACGCACAATTATTGCTTTAATCTTTTCGTAAACTTGATTATTATTGTGAAAAATTAATCTGATGTGATTAATGCTCATATTGATGCAACAAGTGCCATATTAATTAAAGATGCAGCAAACGCTTTTGTGGAATTTGTTGTTCAACACCTCCTTAGTCAACAATTTTTGTCAGTAGACTTTTCAAATAATTTCAGCTATAAACTGGTTTCATCTTTTGCTTTGTTTTCGTAAATAATAATTTCGCAGAACTGTTCAAAATCTTGACTACAAAATTTTTATTTCGGGCAATCGGGAACGCGACATAAAATACTTTGATTATCATCAAGCTAAAAAAAAAATAAGTTAAGTATATAAAAATGATGACAATGTATAAAATGATAGAAAACTTATGCTACTATTATTCAGAAAAAAAGGTTTGAAAATTTTCTTAAACAGAAAGTTTCTACTTGGAGCAAAAAGTTAGGTTTGCATTATTTGCACAAGTTGTGGCATTATAAAAAGAGGAACATTTTTAAAATTGAACTTGCATACATTATATAACAGTTTAATTTTATGTTTGAAAACGGCTCTCATTCTAAACATAGTTCTGCTTTTCATTTTTGATAGTGGCCAACGTAAATTATGTAAAAAAGAAAACAACAATCAAACAAAAAAAGATAAAGTTTAATAAAACATCATAAATACCTGAAACTTGTTAGACCATCTTTTGTGAGTGTTTTGTCGAACACATTTTGCGTAGTTTTCAATGCATTTAAAATCATTCAACAAACATTTTGGACAGGTCATTTTCTTTTTTATAAAACATACGCTGCATGACGTGTGTTGACAATCTCCTCTGCATACTCGTTTTTTTAAAGCGTTTTCACTAAAAAAATATTTGAACGGTTTCTATTACTAACTTTAAGTTAAACATCTTGTGAAAGGTCGAAACCAAATTTTTTCTTTAAAGTTATTTTATAATACTTCTGAATTACAAGTTTATAAAAATATTACAATTCAATTTAGTTCCTGAAAAAAAAAAAAAAAAAAAAATTATACCTTGCTGAACAAATCGCATTGGGGTTTAAATAACAGTAGTTTCGAGAGCATTTTGGCTTACATTTTTCAAGTTCTATTACTTTTTTTGTTGGTTCATTAGCTATTTCTACGAAAACGGGTCGTGTTATTACAGGCCGCGTAATATTTTCAAAATTTAAAGGTTCTAAATAAATAAAAAACTTAAATTAAAGAAAAAAACAGTCATTTTAATAACATTAAAAAAGTAAAAAATAAAAAAACATTTAATGGATTCAACGTATTCATTTTTTGTCATTTGTATTTTTTTAATTATTAAATAAAATTTAACTCCTCAAAATAACTTATAATGTAACTATACTAATTTTTATTATCATTTGCATTTATTTTAATTATCTGCACACAATTTACATTGCTATACAATATAAAATAAACGTATATATATATATATATATATATATATATATATATATATATATATATATATATATATATATATATATATATATATATATATATATATATATATATATATATATTAAACTTGATCAGTTGGTTATTTTTCTTTATAAAATTTTTTTAATCAATTACTTACGAATGCACGTTCCGAAGTTACTTCCAAAACGATTATTTGAGTGACACAATAGTCCGGTTCTACACCTACCAAAAACATCGAGATGGCCACCACAAATCTCATCAACTTTTTTTGCGCAAACAAAGCAGCAACCACAAGAGTCTATTGTTACTCCCGATTTACAAAACGAGTTGATCTTATTTCTATCAACACAAAAAGCAGAGTGGCAGTTTTGGGGGCAGTTTAGCGGCAAGCCTAACTGAGCGCACGCCAAAAAAAGAAATCCGTGAAAAATGTGCATCATTAACCAAGTAAGAAAATATTTCGAAGTCTTTTTGTTTCAATAACTCTTTTTTTTTTATTTTGAATGGCAATGAATGAAGCAAATCAAAATTAAGCAAATAAAGAAATCAAAACCTGGTTGTAATGTCTCCGGAAACTTATTATAATCACGTGGTTAAATTAATAAACCATGCTTTACAAAAAGGATAACGCAAGATTAACTGCCAAAATGAAGTTGGTGTATTTTTAGTTTGGTTATTGATATTGATTGTTTTATGACGACATTTTCAGGATTAAGAAGAAAAATTTTGTACACGAACATAATTAGCATAATTATATATGTAAATCTTTAAAACAAGACGTGAATTAAATTTCTAAACAGGATTTCTGATCTTAAACTAAATGTTTGTGCGTTTTTGTAAGTGGTTGTCTATACAAACATCAATCAAATCAAAGCCAAAAGTATTGAAGAAAATGTTTAAAAATTTAAACTATTGTTTTTAACTTCCGTTAAACTCTGTTGGGTTACTTTGAATAGAGGGGTATCTTTGAAAGTTAACTTCTTTTTTTAGCCTCAATCACGGCTATAAATCTAAAAACTTGCTACAACAATATTGTGTTTTTAAATTTATATATCCTATCGATTATGAAACATGTAAACATTTATTAATACAGAATATTTTTAAAAAAATTTTATAGAGTGTATACAATAAGTCATACACACACAGATTTCACACTTTTAAGATGTTTTATTTTAGGGAATATTTTTTATTTAATTTTTTCAATATTATATAAAAAATATACCCTATAATATTTGTTTGTATTCTAAGTTGCGTTGGACAAAATACGTTGACTTTATTAAAATTAAAATTTTATTTTATTTTGCATTTTATAGTAATACTATGCCACCTGTATTTTATAGCAATACTATGCCACCTGTATTTTATAGCAATACTATGCCACCTGTATTTTATAGCAATACTATGCCACCTGTATTTTATATCAATACTATGCCACCTGTACTTTATAGCAATACTATGCCACCTGTATTTTATAGCAATACTATGCCACCTATATTTTATATCAATACTATGCCACCTGTATTTTATAGCAATACTATGCCACCTGTATTGAAAAAAAAATTGATACCAGGCGCAAAGGCAATTTTAGAAATAAAACGAGGGTCAGGGAATATCCCTAAAAAGTACCCCGCTGCTTACTAAAAAAAAAAGTTTATTAAATAAAGAACCTAACTCAAATGTTTCAAATACCCGACTAACAGACTATATTCCTCAAAAAACTGGATATAACTTGAAAATCGCCTTCTTTTTTTGGAGAGGAGAAGATGGGGTAAGGAAACACCTCCCCCCCTCCACAGGATAACACCTCCCTCCCCCCCCCCCCCCCCCCCACACACACATACACATCCGTTTTATCGCCTATTTATTATCCGTTTTATCGCCGTTTTATTAGCCAGGCGGTATATAAGTAATATATTAATGAGCGCCAAATTTCAAATACTAAAGCAGCTATGGGTAGGTAGTGGTTTAACATACAAAAAAGCACTAAATAATCACGGGGTGCCAGTTGTATAAAAAAATTAATTCGAAAACACCCAGAAAACTTAGATTTTACCCACAGCTTTTATAACACTAAAGAAATTGTTGTAAAACCTGTTATTACTGTTGGTGTTTGAATTTTTTCATTTTATATCATAGATCTTCTATTTTAAGAATATCTATTTTGATTATTAAAGGATTTTTCTGAATTTTACATTCTAGTTTTTCTAAACAGTTTTTGTCAGATTTGATTGGTTTAAAACAGTTTTTATCAGATTTGACTGGTTTAAAACAGTTTTTGTCAGATTTGACTGGTTTAAAACAGTTTTTGTCAGATTTGACTGGTTTAAAACAGTTTTTATCAGATTTGACTGGTTTAAAACAGTTTTTGTCAGATTTGACTGGTTTAAAACAGTTTTTGTCAGATTTGTTAAACATCTTCCTGATCACTTAATCAAAAAATTACTTTAGTCAGCTGAAGAAGGTTTGTTTACATATTGGCACACACTACTCGTTTATTGCAGACAATTGTTTTATTTTATCTTTTTAAAATGTTGGTAAAAAATAGTTGATCAATGAAAAGCCTTGCGTTCGATAAAAGCACAGACAATAGCAAATAAAAAATCTCTTTCTTTATTAAACTCTTTTTTTATATATATTGTTACTGATAAATATTTATCAAATTAAGAGTCTATAGTTTACTAGCTAGTTTAAAAAAATGAAGTACATTAATTTTATGCAAATACTGTCCTTAATCCATTGCCAATTGTTGATGTTAAAATATAAAAGTAAATGAAAATAAGGATACCAATACTAAGAGAGTATGTAATAAAATAAAAGAAATTCATGAAAAGAGTGAAAGTTTTAATTACTTATAAAAGAAATATACTAGCATCACACCATTTAAATCATAAATAAAAGAAATATACTAGCATCACGCCATTTAAATCATAAATAAAAAACGAACAAAAATAATTTTGTTTGCTTTATTTTAAATTTTTCTTTGCTGAATATATATATATATATATATATATATATATATATATATATATATATATATATATATATATATATATATATATATATATATATATATATATATATATATATATATATATTTATATTCGATGTTAGAGAACATAATAATTACATATTTGTACAAACGTATCAGTTTTTAGAAAAGTTCCCATTTCAAGGCATCCCCGTTAAACCAAAGTCTATTAGTGGAGGGAATTAAATTTAATGGTTAGCAATTAAAGTGCTCTTTATGGAAACTACAATTTAAATACGCAAAATAAGTTGGCAAGCTAAATAAAAAACCTAACCAAAAAAGGCTGCGAGTTTTATCCTAAAATCAGTTGCGAATTTTTTGCAAAAAACAAATTTCTCACAGAAACTTTTAAAAGGAATTTTGTAATGAACAATTTTTGATATCAAATTTTTTTTTAGAAATCTAATATCAGACAGAAGCAAAAAGATATTTACTTGAAGCAAACAATAGTTTGTAACATTTTTTTGTTAAATCAATAATTTGAAACCTTTAAAATCAGGTTTTGTGATAAACAATTTGTTCTATAGAAAAAATATTTATATTTTTTAAACTCAGCAAAAGCAAAACAAAACGAGTTTCAAATCAAATTTTTAATTATCATTTTAAAAGTTAAAAGCTTTTTTTATAACAAAAGTATTTTAACTATTTTTATATACTTTTTTTTTCTACAAATAATACAATTAACGAACATAAACTTAAATACGAAAGGATTACGTATCTTACGAACATATACGAATAGGATGAACCCAGTCGATACAAACACGTCTTTTAGACGTTTTTTTCGCATCTAAAATGTTAACACTTTTAGATGTCTAAATTCAGATAAACTTTTAGACGGCTTGAGACAGCTATTTTTCGTCATCTCAAAGATTAATACAATTAGATGTCTTATAGTTATCTGAATTTAGACGTCTGAAAGGTGTTAACATCTTAGGTTTTAAAAAGACGTGTTTGTGCTGGCTGGGAAACAGCATACTAGGTTGAAAAAAGGGTATAGTAATAATAGAAACATACTAGGGCAGAAGAGTTATTATTAACTAAACCATAATACAGCAACGTTAGTAAAACTTAATTGATGCTACATATAAACTACAAATGAAGTTTTCCAAATAAGTTTACACATTATTTCTAGCACGGTATTAGATACATTGATATGATCCCAGCCGGCAAATAACGTTGAAATAACGTTGAAATATCGTTGAAACCTAACGTTGAATTAACGTTGGTTTAACGTTTAGAATGAAAGTTTTTTTCAACGTTGATTTATCAACGTTAAATCAACGTTAGGTTCAAACGTTATATCAACGTTGATTCGACGCGAAAAAGCGTTACAATAACGTTGAATTTACGTTGATTTAACGTTTAGAATGAAAGTTTTTTTCAACGTTGATTTATCAACGTTAAATCAACGTTAGATTCAAACGTTATATCAACGTTAATTCGACGCGAAAAAACGTTACAACAACGTTGAATTTACGTTGATACAACGTTTAAAATGATAGTTTTTTTAACGTTGATTTATCAACGTTAAACGACTGTAAAATACTTTTTCACCATCAAAACGTGCTATGTATGTCAAAATGTATATATGTATGTAAACATGCTATGTGTGTCAAAATATGATCACCATCAAAACGTACTATGCATGTACATTAGTGTTGCTGTACATTATCAAGGTATATTATGGATATTAAATCTATACTTAGACTATTTAGAACTTTTTCAGTTTAATTTAGTTAAAATAGCTAGGTATGATTAAAGAAAGTTATAAAACTTGTTTTATTCAAAAAAACATATTCAAATATTACATATATTTACATGTAATTGAATAAAATCTACACAAATTTCTTCTTTTTTCCACCACATTTTTGAAATAAAGCGTAATTTAGAAAGTCAAACAATGTTCCATTAACCGAGGGTCTTTTGGTCCATTGAATACAATATAAGAAGCTGTAAATAAAAAAATATATATAAAAAAAAAAAAAAAGGGAAGATTTAAAAAATAAATAATCAATGGAAAAGTGTTACAACTTATGAAGGTATATCTTTTTCAACGCCATATAGATTAGTGTTCTTAAAACATATTTTTCCACCTTTGCCCTTCATATCCATCGAGGCCATATAACTTTTCAAAAATACTCTGAATTTTTAAAAAATAATATAACTGTTAGTTGGTTATTAATAACTTTTTCAAATATTTAATTTAAATAAAACAACCTTTTTAATATATTAAAAATAAATTAATAATCAAAATATAAAACATTTCTAGCATTGAAAAATAATTTTCGGGGTGGCCACATAAAATTTTTATAAGAAATTTTATGTGGCCATTTATTAATGGTTTAACGTCCATGTTTATACACTTATGGGGCTTGGACAGGGATCAAATAATGTCATTTGCTATGTTAAATTTCTAAAGCAATTTTTTACAATTCCATGCACTTTAAGGCGTTAACCAGTTTTGCAGACCGAGAATGGGTATTTTG